CCTTCAGTAGGGATCATTAGGGAGGTAGGCCTCCCTAGGGGAACGATTCGAGTTTTCCAGGCAACCTGGACACGAATCACCCCACTAGAGACAGGGTAATCCTGCCTCTCTTGACAGCCGCTGCAACTTGTATCGCGCCCCAACTGGGTTGCATTTCTCAAACCTGATGCGAGCTGCATCAAGTTTGGCGAGCCAAGCCTCACGGCAAATGCACTCGATGTCATGGATGAGGGCATTTCATTCTTGCACCAAGGCTTTGCCGGCTCGAACACGGCTAAAATTGTACTACTGATGTTTGAAGAAAGCATCGGTGAAGAATTCTTCCTCAGCACGGATAGTTTCCGTGCTGGAATCAGGAGGGCAAATCTTCCTGCAATTGAACAATGGGATTCGATCCCGTTTGGTAGACTTGCCGGCCAACTAGTCCAACACTCTGGATGGCGGCGTCCATGGAGACTCCACTTGAGGAGCGTGGCGCAGAACACTTCGGTCCCTGACCTCTCGATTGGTGCCAGCATGAGCACTGGCACCAGTGATACCGCGATCCCTCAAATCACTCCACTCGTGGTAATTTATATGTGCATCACCACCATCCCCACGCGTCCTATCGTTGGATGGACCTGCGTAGGACGGAGAATTATCGGAATAATCACTCGATCCGAAGATCTCGGTCATAATACCGCCGCGCTGACCAGAACTAGTCAACCTGGCTTTTGCTGCGTCCGCCTCGGGTGATCCCGAGGCGTGAGGAGTCGCCTTCGAGTCGGATGCATCATCCGACTCGCCCAAACAGATGAGCTCAATCTCAGACTCGTCTGGATTACGATTCGAGGTACCCGCTGCAGACGCAAAGGATGTACCTGTTGCACGTGGTGACTCACCACGTGGAAGATTAACGACAACAGGCGACGAATCGCTTGCTGCTGAGGCGTGAGAGGCACTATTCACGACCGCACGCATGCATGCGTGCAGCCGCTCTTCTTGCTGCTGCAGTAGCAGCTTGCGTGGTTTTTGTAACCATGCGTTGAAATGGCAAATAGTTATAATTTGACCAACAAGTGCTCCCTTTCCCAAGGTGATACAACGATGGTCACTCTATCCCAATCAATTTTATTTTGATCAACGAGTGATTGTTGGTTATGGGGGGGGTGAATTGACGGGGTAGCCTGTTACATGAAATTGACACCAAGCGGTGTCAATGTGAATATTGTCTAGTATGACAACATTCTACCGATATTATACGGGATGGATACTATTGAAGGAATATTATTCACATTTGGATAATATTCATTCGCTGCTCCAAGATTGGTTAATATAAGATATATCAACCATAGATTACCACTAATCACTGCTAGACGCGCGCGATGAGTGGTGTGCAGGTTGTCGTCATAAGACGGCGTAGTTTATTAGCTAGATAAAGATTACAGTTATATTAATAGCTTAACTATATTAAATACAGTCCTCTTTCTACCTTACTTGATTGAGTCGTTCAAGTAGCTTAGCTTCCTCTGCACGTACTAGTGTACGTGAAGTCTCGTGGCACCCCGAACAAAGGGTATACTTGCAGTCAATCGAGGATATCCGGGAATCTGCTGCATCAAACTAACGGCTTTCCTACTTATGGAAACAAGCCACTAGGCTAAGCGACACTGAGGAGCAAATTGCATTAGAAAAAGAGGGCGGAGACTCGGGGGTCACTATTGAAAGTTGTGGTTGTAGACCTTAAACAATTTGAATTCGTGGCAGGCATAGCTTTTTTCGTAGATTAATTTTCCATGCAACAGCGAGATAACAGTTGAGCGAAGCAATGAGAGGACTCAAGGCTGACGCGGTGCTTGGTGACATGGCGCCACCATGTTCGGGCAACTTTCCGACCGACAGTAAAACGCAGTTGCGGCTAATGCCACAATGCGCTCGAGATGAGAGCGCCATACTTGCGTCCACGAGTAAAATCTGTGGCAAAGATTTCGCGCTGTGGATGATCCGAAACTTTCGAGCAGCGTTAAAGAGGCAGCTCACTTATGTGCAAAAGGCGCTTTTGCAATCATGTTAATAGCAGCGACTATGTTACTGTCGTTCAGCTCTTCAGGCATCTCTTGACGACGGCTGTCGTATTTGATCTTATCGGCGTATTTGCATGCTATCCCCAATAAATCGAGTATTTTCACGAACTAAGCCTTTGTGATCGCCTGCGCTCCTTGTAACGGTAATTCTATCTGGAGACATTACGTTCAGACTAGCGCCTTTCATCTCTCCATCGGGAACTGCATTAACCCATATCCACTCGTAGAAATGCAGTACCGGCAGCGTTCCATGTTAGGCTCGTCAAGCTCGTTACGAATGAAATGGGTGGGAACGCGAGCAGGATCGTAATTGCTGTCGAATATCAAATGCGTACTTGAAGCTTCAATTGGCGCAGAAGACGGTGTTGTGTACCGCTATCATCTACCATTTGTTAAATTGACAGCAAATCACGACTCAAATGACTGAGTTTATGAATTTGTGTAGTTGGAGATTGAGTTGGACACAGGTAGTCTTTCAGTTAGAGATGCTTAACGCGTCCCTCGATAGGTGCGGTTTCTAACAGAGTAAAGCTAAAAGCGGCAGCCTAGAAGTCGCATATTGATGCCGTTGCAAACTGTTCAGAACTGCGTTTCTTTAATGTGTAAGCGGGAACAATTCCATAAGACATGACGACAAAAGACAAACGCTACACTGCGATGACCGTATCAATCTGGAATATGATGTAGTGTGAGCATTATGGATCCTAATAGCCATTTCACTTCAAGGCATCTACAGCTTTTGAGTGTGACCAGTTGGTATTGGAGCATGATCATGTAGTCGAATTAAACGCAGATAATTGCTAACTGTGTCTACAAGCACAAACTGTTACAGGCGCAACTGCTGGCATCTAAACGACAACACATACGCGTATAGTGCTCGTGGAGACATTTGGAAGCAACAAAAGAACGTCAAGTCTACACTGAATATTCGGCCATACACCCAGAAGCATGTTAAGTATTCTACGAGCGCAAGAAAAAATGACCTCCTGCGTACGTCAGACACTTCGTCGTAAGAGTCTGACAACTGCCAAAGATTGTTTTTCTTAATCGTCTTAAACAGGCGGGACCTCGTACTTCAGTATCCAGTATGCCCTATAGAACAAATTAAACCATGCGGCTACAGGTTAGTTATTTAGTAGTTGCACAACTGTATGACAGACCAAAGTACTTGAATGACTGAGAGTCGTACGACGAGAGAACTTTGAGCCTCTGTTCCATTATGCGTTCAGACTTAACGTTGAAAAAAGAAACGGACCTCACCCTACTTTGTTGCATGTTTATCCTACTACACAAAAGCGAGTCATTGATAGATGATCAATGCCTCCATACTTGACGTCTTTCATGACTCGAGTCAGTCATTTATAGAGAACAAAAGAAGATACACCAACACATACGCGCAACGTCGAAGACACTTTCCATTCCGTTGACTACAGGAAGGAACAACAGAAAACGGCTGTGCGCAACGCGTCAGCAAGGAAACTGAATTAGACGACTGGGTACTACTCCTAAGTCTTCACCTTGCACTTCTGTTGACACGTCACCCTCCCTCTTCCATGGTGCCCACACCCGTAAGTCTCACAGATTTAAGTCGTACACGCGTCTCTCTACCGTCCCCTTCTCCTCCTCCTCCTCAGCATCTCGCTCTCCTTATTTCCAGCTTTTGAAAGCTTGTTAGTCGCCCGTCTAAGTCCACTGAAGCCACCTTCCCAACATTCCGGTCTTTGATGTGAGTTTATTCTGGCAACAGAATTCTAAGGGGTGTTGAATGCAAAGGCGTCACCACCCACAGCAAGGCATTGAAGAGAATCAAGAAGGAAAGGAACTCAAACACGCTTAAGTTCAGGAGATGATAGCTACAACTTGGACCCCGGGATTAAGGGTAGTAAGTCACATAAAGATGCACTGATTCGGCCCTCGCTGTCGTTCATGTCGCTCTTGTTGCAGGACAAGCTACGTGTCAACAGGGAAACGGTCGTTCGATTCGGTCACGCAGCTTCAACAAAATCGTGAAGCGTGTGAGCTTCCAAAGACGCGGTTATGCGTTTCAAACACTTCTTCATCCAGGGCGGAAGTAGGACAACCCGTTGGCTACTGGATGCGTGCGAACAGAAACTGTATGATGTAGCAGATGCGAAGGCGGTGAACGAATACGAGTCGATGATGACAACGATGCCGTTAAAAGATCTGTGCGCAAGAGAGAAAGAGTCTGTCCGTTGTTTTAGATCTGGACGTGGACAAGTGGAGGTAAGATGCAGTGCGAGACGACGAATTCGATGGAGTACGTATCTCCGCGTCTCAGTCCTCGGCGCTACTTGACGCCTCACGCCAACACCAGCACCAGCAGCGCCTCTGTATTTTATACACAATTTTCTCTCTGGTATTTACGTCTTCCTCGTGCTCTAACTACACGATCCTTCTACCGGTTCCTCAGCCACGAGTGTAACGGGGCACCCTCAAGCTTGTACTGGTGACGGTACAAGCTACTTATTCTGATGACAGAATAAGGTGGTGCCTCGTAACTTCACGTACACTCGTACGTGCAGAGGAAGACGGTAAGGAGAAGCGAGTACTTGGTTAAAGTAAAAAGTAGAACTGAATCTAGTATAGTTAATGTCTGTAATAAATCACTATTTATCCTCATCTAACTATGTCTAAATACAAATGTGCATATCAGTTATCTGCTAACCACTCATTGCGTGCGTCTTTCGTGGCGCGTCTTCGTTGGTTGATATAATCGCCTATATCAACCAATTAGGAACTACTCGTAAGTGCTACAGAATATTTGTCCTTATGACAATATTCTGCGAATATAACTCTTATAATTATACTAATAACAATTTCTTATAAATTGTTATGTAACGATTCACCCCGTTACAATAAGATGACGCTCAATCGTAGCTTTCGCTTCGACGGTGTCATTTTCATTGTCGTTGTCGCTCACACACTAGTGTAGCCACGACCAGAGACCGCAATGGAGCCAAGCACTGGCGTCCCGAGGATCTCTTCCTCTGCCACATTTTTGGCTCGCACTAACACACTTATGGTGCGACAGGGTCGAGTGCTGATGCTCTTCCGGGCCATCACGAATGAGAAGGAGCTCCGAGGATGGACTTGAGGAGCGCACTGAGGACTTGAGTGCGACTTGATTGGCCAGGACGAACGCGACGTCACTCGAGTGGTCTCTCGCATAAGTGACATGGTTCACAGGACTTGATCGAGACCTGTAGCCATTTGGACTGTTCGTCGTGTGTACGACCAGCGACGCACGAAGAAAAACGAGAACAGACACTTGTCGGACGAGGGACATAGGGCGTTGTATCCACATCCCCATCCTAACACTAGATCTCGTCGACGCACGTGTCGCTCTTTTTCTTTTGACTTGTTTAATCAGTGAGGGCCAGCGGGAACTGTAACGGGGCACCCTGAAGCTTGTACTGGTGACAGTACAAGCTACTTATTCTGATAACAGAATAAGGCGGTGCCTCGTAACTTCACGTACACTCGTACGTGCAGAGGAAGACGGTAAGAAGAAGCGAGTACTCGGTTAGAGTAAAAAGTAGAACTGTATTTATAATAGTTAATGTCTGCAATAAATCACTATTTATCTTCATCTAACTATGTCTAAATACAAATGTGTAAATCAGTTATCTGCTCACCACTCATTGCGTGCGTCTGTCGTGGCGCGTCTTCGTTGGTTGATATAATGGCCTATATCAACCAATTAGGAACTACTTGGAAGTGCTACAGAATATTTGTCCTTATGACAATATTCTGAGAATATAACTCTTATAGTTATATTCTATTAACAATTTCTTATAAATTGTTATGTAACGATTCACCCCGTTACATCACCCCCCTTAACCATCAGTCACTTTAGTGACTGATTGACTAAATGGATACTCGTCCCAAATCATTTGGGACGGGGTTTGCACTTGTTGGTCCGCGTCCACTTTCCAACATCTCATCGCATGGTAAACAAGCCCATGCGATGCGCGAGCAAGGCCGCCGAGAGCGCGTCTGCACGTCTCTGTGCGGACGCCGAAGCAGAAACTACAGCAACTGATGTCCCATCGGTTGCTGAATCGACTCAGCCTGTATCACCTGGTGATGCAGGCGCTGGTCATGAAGACACTCGTGTATTCACAGAGTACGAGCTCGGTGTCTCGTACTCTCCTGATACGGATGACGGATCCGTATCGACGGCAATTGAATCCAAGCCGCCTGCCAAGCGTGGCATGGACGATGCTTTGCGTCGCAGCATCTTTGGTTCATCTGATGAATCAGATGAACCATCGCCGAAGCGAAGGCGCTCGAGGTCGCGAGACTCGGGCGCTAATAGTGGTGTCGTTTCTCCAATGGACACCACTTCACAGCGAGGTGCCAGTACTTCTGTCGGCACGTCGCAGGAAGAGCGGGACCGCAATGTGTTGCGTCTCGCTCCAGAAAAGAAGGCATGGATGCCTCCTAAATCTGTCATGGATCACTTGTCGGCGACGACGAGTGATCGTTATCGAACACGATTGTTCGATTCGTCAAGGATTCATCACCTTGACCCCAGCGCGAAAGACTATCGCGCTGAACATGAGTTCTTCATCGATGCTTTCTTCAGACATCGATGGTACAGTGGGAATCACAAACGTGATGGTCCCTCACTACTTCAGGCGTGGAACGCCTACATCCATAACCTCGAGGATGTAGGTCGTGACGCTTGGAACGACAAACTTATCAAAGCTCGTGATAAGTTTGAAAAGCGAACCCCGACAGGTGCACGCTATAAGCTGCATCGTCTGTCAAGGGAGAAAGGATTACCCTGCCTCTCTTGGGGAGACTCGTGCCCATGTTGTGTGAACAACTCTGCACGAGCACCTAAGGAGGCTTACCTCCTTACCAGCCCGTGGTGGCGCGTACGTGTCTCTACTGAGATGTACGAAGGGATTGACAACCTGAAATCCCTTTACGACCGTGCCGGGAAGACTTTCTCCGGCGGTCCTTCTGCGGCACAGGATGTGTCGCGTCGTACTGCTCGACCAGACCCAGTACGTCGATCATCAGTTAGGAGCGGGGCTCCCAAGAATCCCCAGGACGGGGGATAGCCGCGCCACCGGACGAGGTAACTCGTCCGACGTCCGTTCACGTCGCGGTGGTTCAACAGCTGCTCTACTAGATAGCGCTGGCCACCGCGAGAGTCCTCTAATGGAGGTGGAGGAGGAGGAAAGACGCTCTCCACACGATCATGTGGATCGGTGTGTTCCCGAGAGCTTCTTTGATCGCGTAACGCAAGGGTTACGCGACGATCTCGAGCATGAGCGGAATAGGCGTCTCCAGATGGTGGACACTGCCTCGAAGCATCGAGCTGAGTTTGCCTTTGCTCAGCTTGAGAACGAGAGATCTCTGACATCTCTTCGTGACGAGCTAAGGGTAGCTCGTGGGATTGTTGATCGGTCTCGGGCTGAGATAACTGCTCTTCAGACCCTTGTTGATGCCCACCATCGGGAGCACAAGGCTCTCTGCGAGATGCTTGAGCGCAAGGGCGTTCTTCATCGGAAGAAGCAGCGTACTGATGGTACGGCTTAAGCCGACCAACGTAAAACGTGGGATGCGTTCGCATCTTACGTGGTAACTCGATCGTGTATGCATTGCCTAGGCGGTGCAATACACGAAATGGGCCAATGTACTTGGGTAGTAGTTTACTGCTACCCAAGTTAGTCACTACATGTTTTGGTAGATTAACCGTAGACAGTAGGACTAAGTCACCTTTATTAAATAAAAGAGTGTTTGCCCTTCCATTCTTGTCAGCGTTTTGCTTTTGCTTATCCACCGCTTCGGCGATGGAGTCTTGCACAAAACGGACTACCGTTTCACGAGCCAGTATGAACTCATCTGATGACTCGTTAGCTTCAGTGTGCTGTGAGCGCACTGCAGCGACAACAACCTTTTCTTCAGTGAGGGCTTCCGCACTCTCACTGGGATCATCTTCTTCAGTGAGGGCTTCCGCACTCTCACTGGCATCATCTTCTTCGATATCGATGTTATCGATATCGGCATCAAACGCAATGACTTCTTCGTCAGAGCGTGATGAGCGTGAACCAAATCGGTTTTTGCTCGCGCGAGTCCCTCCCCCTTAAACCAGAGTTACACTCTAGTAAGGTGGGTACACGCGGATGGCGCAAGCCATTCACGTAAAACGGTGTATGTGTCGTCGACGCATGCACCGAGTTGTTGATGGCAAACTCTACCATCGGCAAAAACTCACTCCAACTCTTAAAGGAGTGTACGTATCCTCGAAGTATCTCTTCAAGGACACGATTGGCACGTTCCGTCTGACCATCTGACTCTGGATGATCAGATGTCGACATCTTCAAGCGCGTTCCGAGTGATTTGAACACGGAGCGCCAGAAATCAGCAGTGAATCGTGGATCTCTGTCTGATACGAGTTCACGGGGCAACCCATGAAGTCGGAAGATGGTGTCAATAAAGACACAAGCACAGCCACTTGCCGTGATTGTCTCTGGTACAGCCACAAGGTGTACCATTTTGCTGAATCTGTCAACAAATACGAGAATACCCGTATTCCCGCGTGCGTCTTTGGGTAACCCGAAGACGAAATCCATTGAGATGGATTCCCAGCACTCAGCCGGAACCGGTAGAGGCTGTAAAGGTGCACGCAGTGAAGGACTTGACTTCACTCGTTGGCAGACTTCGCATGCGCGAACATACTTTCGCACAAACTGATACTGGCGGGGCCAGTAAAAGTCTCGACTTACCGTGAGATATGTTTTCTCTCGGCCACGATGTCCTCCTATAGGAGCATCGTGATACTCGAACATGATCCGCAAACGCAGATCAGTATCATCTGGAATGACAACACGTGGTGTGTCACCAGAAACGGCTGTATAGTACAGTAAACCGTTACGAGTAGTGTATCGATCTGATGCAGATCGATACGCAGACGACAATCGTTTCAACGATTCTCGAGATGGTTGGGAGAGATGTGACAACAACTTCACTATCTCACCATCTTGGGCGTATGCCCGCCTCACATCATCATACAACGTTGTAGATGGAACTGAGGACGTCATAACCGCAACAGTGACTGTCTCACTGTTGGGTTTCGCGACTGTTTCAAAGTCGGGACGACGTGAGAGTGCATCAGCGACGACATTAAGTCGTCCTGGTTTGTACTCGACCGTAAAGTTGTATTCTGCAAAGAATGACAACCACCGCGCCATTCGTTGTGAAAGGTGCGGGCTGTTCACTGCCGTGCGTAAGGACGCATGGTCAGTGTAAACAACGAAGGGTCTATCTCCTAATAGATAGACTCTGAACTTCGCGAGTGCATACTTCATGGCAAGGAGTTCCTTGTCATGCACTGGATAGTTCCGCTCAGCTGGTTGCAGCTGACGCGACTGATAGCAGACGACGCGTTCAACGCCTTCAAGGTCGTACTGCATTAATGCACAGCCGATTGCGAAATCGCTGGCATCACAGACCACATGAAATGGCCTGTCCTGATCGGCTATTGCTAGGACTGGGGATTGTATCAAGCTCTGCTTGATACCCTCAAAGGAGCGTTGACATTCAGCGTTCCATAACCACCTCTCGTTCTTTTTCAACAAACGAGAGAGGTGTACAGTCATCTCGGCGTAATTGCGTGAATACTTATGCAAATACGCCGCTAGCCTAAGGAATTTTCGAAGACCTTTGACATCGACCGGCACAGGCCAGTCGGTGATCGCCTTGATCTTTTCGGGATCAGGACGTACACCGTTCTTACCAACGATGCACCCAAGAAGTGGTATTTCGCTTGCTGCAAATATACACTTCTTCAGGTTTGCATACAATTGATGCTTTCGCATGATTGTAAGAACTTGTCGGACGTGGTACTTGTGAACCTCAACGTCCGACTTTCCATCCATAGCTCGACTATGGATGAATACGTCATCGAAATAACTCGGCGCGAATTCTCGTACTGGTCTCAACAGATGTGATACACACCTGTTGAACGTGGCAGGGGCATTACTGAGCCCTTGTGGCATTACTAGCCATTCCCAGAGCATGCCGCTAGGCGTGCTAACTGCGGTATAGGGTATATCCCGTTCCCGCATTAGGATTTGATAGAAGCCATCCATCAAATCCATGGACGAAAAGATGGTACTCTTTGACATACCATCAATGATTACGTCCTTCCTCGGTATCGG